GGCGGAGAACGGGTACGATTGGGGCACTGCCAGGAGATCGAGGAGAGCACCAGGCCGGGGTGTGCATGCTGTGGGCACCCAGTCATCTGATTTGGTGCAGGTGGTATCGAAGCTGGTTTCAGCTATCGATCGTTCTGGTTTGATTGCAGGTACCGGACAGCAGCAGGCTATGCTCTGCCAGTGGTGCGAGAGCACCCATCATACAGTGGAAGACTGCCAGGCGATGAAGGAATCGACCACGCCCCAGGAGCAGGTGAACTTCATCAACAATGTCAGGCGCAATGACCCCTACAGTAACACCTACAATGAGGGGTGGCGCCAGCATCCCAACTTCTCCTGGGGTGGGGCAAATTCCAGACCACCAGTCCCCCAGGGACCACCGGGCTTCCAGAGGCCACCATATCAGCCCAGACAGGGGCAATTCCAGCAGCAGCAGTCTCTCTACCAGCCCATGCAGGGGCATGCTGCTCCATCACAGCCGCGACCTTTCCAGCAGCCAGGTGCAGCCCCTGCCGCCCCAGTGCAGAATGATCAGATGGCTGAACTGCGGGAATTGGTGGGTTCTCTCGCCAGTTATAGTGCTCAAAAATTTAACACCATCGAGCAGTTCATGGAAAAGGCATCGGGTAAATTCCTGGCTCTTGAAGCTGGCCAGAGGAACACACAGGCTGTCTTGCAGGATATCCAGACCCAGCTGGGGAGTGTGGCTCAAGCAGTGGCACAAAGGGCTCCTGGTACCTTGCCCGGTCAGACCATTCCTCACCCTCAGAACCCGAATGAGCACTGCAATGCCATCATGACCAGGAGTGGCAAGATGACTATTGATCCACCTGCTCGAGCACAAGAGAGAGAGGCCCCTGCCTCGGCATCTCCAGCAGTTGAAGAAGAAGTAGAGAAGGAGGTTGAGGTGCATGCACCTAAACCGCAACCAGTAGTGAAGGAGTATATCCCTAAAATTCCCTTCCTTACTTGGTTGCACAAAGACAGGCTGGAGGCAGAGTTCGAGAGCTTCATGGCCATGCTTAGGAAGCTGAATGTCCAAGTGCCTTTCCTGGAGGCACTATCTCAAATGCCTAAGTATGCGAAGTTCCTGAAGGATCTTCTCTCAAAGAAGCAGAAGCTGAGCGAGCTGGCCACTGTGGAGCTCAGCGAGGAGTGCTCGGCCATTCTGCAGAACAAGCTTCCGCAGAAGCAGAAGGACCCAGGTAGTTTTACTATCCCGTGCTCTATAGAGAATTTGCATGTAGAGAGGTCCTTCGCGGATTTAGGTGCTAGTATAAATGTTATGCCATATAAACTGTTTAAGAAACTAGGCCTAGGTGAACCCCGTGCTACTAGGATGAGCCTTCAATTAGCTGACCGATCTGTAGTGCATCCTAGGGGCATAGTGGAAGACCTTCTGGTTAAGGTTGGCAAATTCAATTATCCTGTTGATTTTGTGATTTTGGACATAAATGAGGATGTGAATGTGCCATTGATACTAGGAAGGCCTTTCCTGGCCACCGCCAAGGCCCTCATAGATGTGCATGATGGGACCTTAGTTCTGAGGGATGGTGAGGAGCGAATAGCGTTTTCAATTTCTAATACTCGTCCTGCTTCGTCACCTCTGCATGTTGTATCTCACCAGGAGCACGAGTCTGTCGTGTATCCTCCTGTGTTGCCTATTTTGCAGGATTCGCCTCCCATACCTTCGCCGCCACTCCCGTCCACTCTGTCATCGAAGGAACAAATTAGGGAGGAGTGGCGGCCGAAACAGCAGGCAGCTAAGCCTGCTCGAAAGAAAGCCGGAGACCACTATGAGCTGGTCCCGCCCCCACCTTGGCCATCCGAGTATTCACTCGCTTGCATCCTGGCGGATGGCCAAGTTGAGTTGGCAAATGCTGGTGGCCACATTCGGCGTGTCCATGGCCACCATTTGAAGCTGTACCTCAAGAGCGAGGTGGATCCGCTCTTGAAGGCACCTGCTCCTTCACCTCACTAAGCATCCACCGACTGGCGTCCAGCTAAAAGATGGTAAAGAAGCGCTTGTGGGGAGGCAACCCCACCTAGGTTTGCATTTTCTTACCTTTTTCTTTTTGATTTTTTGTGTTTTTTGAGTCTTGAGATGTTGTTCCAGAGTCGAATGTCGTTTTTGGGTGAAAACAGGTTGATTTTGGGGCTCCAGCAGTTCACACGGCCAAGCCTTAAACTCACACGGCCGTGTGGACACTTTCCATTGGCCGTGTGAGCTCTCGGCAATTTCCACACGGCCAAAAGTGCAACTGACACGGCCGTGTGGATTGGCCTGGACTGGCCGTGCGGCCGGCACGGGCAACTCATTTTGTCGCACGGCCGTGTGAAGGAGTGCCCTGGCCGTGTCTGCTCTCGCAGAATATGGCACGGCCAAATGAGCACTCGGCACGGCCGAGTGAAATTCCTCGGCCAGGCCGTGTCGGCCGACACGGGCAAAAGTGCCCACGACACGGTCGTGTGGGCAGGCCGTGTGGCCGAGACACGGCCTATTTATTCGGCCAGCACGGCCGGGTCGTCAGAAAATTTCAAAACACTCGCCGGAAACCTCTCCCCCTCGCCGGAAAACCGCGCCAAAACCCCACTTTGCGATTTTTTCGGCCATTTTTTATCATTTTTTCACCAAACCAACAACAAACCCACCCTTCCTACACCAAAAGCGGCCTATCCCTCCATTTTGAGGAGATTTGGCCGACGTTTTTGTCGCCGGAGGCGATTTCCGGCGAGACTCCGGCGAGGCTCCGACGAGCACTTCCAGGCATTTTTTCGGCGTTTCGTCGCTTCCATCGCCTTCCCCTCATCATCCCCTACACCTCTACTTGAGTCTCCAGGTTTGATTTTGCCCTTAACCATGTTAATTGTGGAGAATTGGGTGTGAAGGTGCATGGTTAGAGAACCTCATTGAATCTTGTGATTTTCGTGCAATTGATTGAGGGAAATGCATGGAGTGTGTTTGAATTGTGTTGGGCAAAGTCCCTCTTGATTGTTTGAGCCCTTGTGTGCAAGAATTGTGCCAATTTCATGCTTACCTTAATAGTGCACACAAGGTGTTCGATGAAATGCTTGTTTTCGTACCATTTTGTGGGGGTCGGTTGGGGCCCTTAATGATATGCTTTGAGGGTGTATTTGGTATGAATGTGAACCTTGAGTTGCCTACTTGTTCATGGATTTGCACCCCCACTCAGATTATGCTTGCTTTATCGAGTTTTTGACCCCCGAACTATGGATGAAACCATGGTTAGGCTGTTTTCTGTTCTTAAGTGTGGGGGTGTGATTAACATTTTCCTTGGCTGTTTTGGTTCCACTTTGGGCTGTTCTTTTGCAGGATCATGTCGAAGCCCAACCTCCGGCATCAGTATGTTCAAGATTTGAGAAGGGGGGCCCACCGGGATCGTTTTCAGAACGTCCTGGCCTGCAAGTTTGGGCAGCACCATTACTGGTCGAAGCGCGAGTTGGAGAAGCTCAACTGCTACGAGAACCTCTCCCCCGTTGTCACCAATAAATACTGGCGCCGCCTACTAAGCATCCACGTGACGGTTTACCATGAGCTCGTGCTTGAGTTCTACACCACCTTCAAGCACGCAGCCACGACCGATTGGAAGGACGAAGCTGCAGTCCAGCTCCATACCCAGCAGGGAGTGACTCTCGCACACATCGAGCGGGAGAGGCACCGCTCTCGGCGCATGAGGAGGTCCAGCAGCATCTGCTCCAGCTGCTACCGGGCGAGCAGCCAGTCTGGAGGACTCCCTAGGAGGACTCCCCACTTCCACCTCCCCCCAGCGGATGGTGCTGATGGTGGTGACGCCTTCATGAACGACATCAACTTCGATCTGGACGACCTCGGTGACGAGTAGGCTGTACTCGCTGCCCATCTCAGTGTGTTTTGTTTTTCGTTTTAGACTTGTGTGTGTTTGATCCATGTGTGAGGAGCTTGAACTTAGTGTCGTTTGTTTTTGTTTTTTCTTTTGTGGATTTTTTTTGCTGTAGCCATCTGGGCTAACACTTATCCCTAACGCACAGTGTGCTAGTGTGTTCTTGGTGTTCGATTCGTGCACAACTGTCCATCTTCCCGTTTGTTTCTCGCTGACTGGTCCACTTCCAGTCCCCCAGCAGTTTCAATCCGGTAACATCGTTCCCCTTCTCTATCCCTCTGCTCCATTGAGGGCAATGTCATGCTTAAGTGTGGGGGGGGGGGGTGCTTTGTATCGGTTGGAATGTATATATGTGTGCTTGGAGCCTAGTCCACTGTCCAAATCTCGAGATTTGAGGGCTCCTAGTACTGCTGTTTGATCATATTGGCACTGTGTTTTGATTGATGAATTGAATGGTTTTCGGATTGATGCATGACAGCTTGATGTGACTAGGACAACCTATGATGAGGACTAAGACGTGCAGTAGAGTTGTGTAGGGGTTCAGTTTTTCAACTGTTTGCTTACCAACTGTGACTTGGATTGATTACTTGTTCTTGACAGTCTCTTATGCATCTAGTTCAGGGTATCAGAATGTGAGATAGAGCATATAGGTAGCCATGTGAGATTTGAGCCTGCTCGTTTCTTTCTTGTGCGATAGATCCCTCTTCCATGATGTGTAGCATTCACGTTGTCACTAGCTAAGATGATGGGGACATAGGATTAGCCCACGACCAAATTTGACTGTCCTGATGTGTCATATCCCCTAGTCAGCCCTTTGAGCCGTGTGTTATCCTTTCTTTTGGTCTGAAATGAAAAAAATCACCTTGTTTACATCTTTTAGAAGGTTCCACAGAGTGGTTTTTACATATTCTCTGCTGTTTCTGCTAAATTGGATGTGAGTGTTGGAGGTAGTGCTTAAAAGTTGAGCTGGGCAGGTGTTTGAAATATATGCAGAAGTGGTGGCTCTCTTAAGAAATGCAAAGAAAATGAAAGAAAAACAAAGAAAAATTGAAAGCAAAGAGAGCCACTACCAAAAATCTGAATAATGCCCAGTAAGTAGTGTTTCTTAGTAGTCGGGCTTGGAAATGCTGACATTTATACCTCCTTCGCTCTTGTGCTCTTGAGATATTGAGTAATGCAGAATAGCAGAAAGGGAATACCGGTTTGTTTGACTGTGATTGTTTGGGTTTGGGAATGTGGAACCTTGTGCTACGAATACTTCCACCACCTAAAAGGATTTTTCCCCATGTCCAAGACCCTAGCCAGTCATTTGAACCTGTGTCTAAGACCTCCTGATTAGTTAGTGGTGACACCCCATATGTGAACTCTAGCAGTTAGAGGCAGCCATCATGGTGAAGAGATGATAGGGATTGAGAGAAATAACATGCGCATTTTTTGCATCAAATTGTCCTGACCCCACTGGTCGAGAGTGAGTGATTCATTTTTCATATTCTATATACTCTTGTACCCCGGTGAGGACCTAGATTGCTCGGTCTCTATTCTGATGTCGTGAGTTGGATGCATGAGTTGACTGTTTTGAGTAAGTGGTTGAGTCAAGTCTAGGTTGGTTGGTGAACATGAGGGAGACTCTTCCTTTACTCGATTTTGCTGCACTCGAATGTCCTTTGTGGTGGTTGTCCAGGTTGCTGTTGAAGTTGGTCATGTATTGATGTTTGAAAAACAGTACGATTCACGTGTTCTGTGCCTTTATGACTTGTCCCCAATGGTAATTGATTGAAATATGTGAGCTTACCTTGTGTCTGACTTGGTTTGCTTGGGGACACGCTAACAGTTAAGTGTGGGGGAGTTTGATAGACCGTTAATTACACATGTTTTTACCCCTGTTCTTACACCGTGTGAGATGTGATTTCTCGTGTTTTAGGCCGATTTCACGCTAGGTTGTGCTTGTTTGTGATATTTCAGGTCCTAGTACGTGAATGGAGGCTTGGGAGCGAGTTTGGGGTCGATTGGACGAAGATCGGGCGCGAAGCAAGTCACAAAGGAGGCCACACGGGCACACCCACAAATCACACGGCCGTGCAACTCATATTTCTGGCCGTGTGAGATTGTGCGAGAGCAAACACGGCCTGCCCTGATAATCCACACGGCCGTGTGAATAAGTGGTCTGGCCGTGTGACTTTTGCCGAGAGCAGACACGGGCAGATGGAAATCAAACACGGCCGTGCCACTCTGGCCGTGTGAGAAGCCTGAGTATCGAACTAAGTGGAACGCAGTGTTTTGACTCACACGGGCAACTGGGTATGCCACACGGCCGTGTGGCCCTGCCCGTGTGAGTCGGGATTTCATGGTTTTAACCCAATTTCGGGCTGCAAGAGAGAGACCGGACTTTTTGAGCAAAAACAGAGTTTTAGAGAGAGAAAGGACGAAGAACACATCCTAGAAGCCATCTTGGAGCTGGGTTTCATCAAATCAAGCTTGGAGATCGTCATAGGAGTGGAAATCATCATCCCAGAGCAGATTTTCCTCATCTTTATGAGTATGACTACTTTGTATCTTGTTTTCCTCTCTCTCTTTCTATGGAGTAGAACCCCTCTGTCACTTGGGGATAAAGAACCCTAGTTCTATGTGTTAGGGATTGATTGTAATGACTTGGGATGATATTACTGTTTGATTTTAATCGAATGATGCATGTTTATTGAGTCAATTGAAGTCTGATCAACTTTTCCTGATTCCTGCTGCAATTTGAGATAGATAGAATCTGATTAGGTTGCTAGAGTCTCATCATTCGATAGTAGGAGATTGGCTATACAGAGTTAGCCAGTTTACTGCTTTGTACTGGAATCCAATTCCAGTAGTGGAGTTCTGTTCTTACTGCTTCAGCTTTCTATCCCGGTGAAGACTAGTCGTCTGCCGGGTAGTTAGACTGAGAGGGCTTGGTCAGCTTAAGAGATTCCAAGCTACTGTCGGATCTTCTGCAGTCTAATCAACAGTAAATCAACCCAAGGAAATACAATTGAAACCTAACTAAAGAGCTAGGGGGATTCATTCCCGAGTGACTCTTTCCTGCTTGAGAAAACCGAATAATTTCTTGTTTTCTTTCTGCTTTTGCTTTTAAACAACAATCACTTACTTTAGTTGGCTAGATAACAGAGAATCACTGAGTAAGCAGTAGATCTAGACCCCGGGTTGATAATATAACTTGCCTGTTACTGCATTCCCGGTCTGCGATTATACTTGGTCGCAGATTGGTGTTGTGTTTTGGCGTGTCAGGGTGCAGTTTCCGGAGATTGATGATCCTATGGTTGCTTAACTGCTTGTTCTCCGAGAGGCTATTCTCTGGAGTCTAAGCCAGGGATTTACAGAGATGAGGTTTGAAGGTGATGCCAAAGTGGTCATTGAGAAGATCAATCGGAATGATACCCGGGATAATCGGATGGGGTCCATTCTCGAGGAGGTTGTGCGCTATTTTGTGAATCATACTGGATACACTGTGCTATTTGTAGGTCGGCGTAATAATAGGGTAGCTCATTTGGTGGCTCGTAAGACCCTTTCATTGTACCCGACTATGAGTCGCTCTTTTGATTTTCTGGCCTAACTTAATTTCAAGATGTAACTACCAATTTTTCTAATCAATATATATGATTATCTTTTATATAAAAAAACTTGAGTTATTGAATTTAACACATTTTTGAAAGAAAAGCGTATCATCCTTAATGTATTATAACTTTTCAACATAGAATCACACTGAAAAGGGGAAAGAAGAAGGGAAGCATGCATGATCAAACTCAAACTCAATGTCATTTTTATTTCTTACTTTGTCACTACAAGTCATAAACTAACTCCATACCGCACAATTAATTGATTGAATCAAAATTACATAGGTGGTTGTGGTGGAATTGAGCCACAGATAACTTCACAAGAACAGGTATGGAGAGACACAGAAGGAGTGTTGTTGCTGTTGCATACACAATTTGTGGCATTCACATTGCCATACTTTCCATACTTGCCTAAAAACTCTACATAGCACTGTTCAGACCCGCATCCGCAAACAAATTCGTATGTCTTTTCACACCATTTGACATCATCCACTGTAAAAAAAACATCACCAAACAAACTGACCATAAGTGACGATGGTGAAAAAAAAAAACATTGCAAAAATTTTATGAACGTGAAATTCGAAATATTAACTTTGATTTCACGTTTTAATATAAAAAAAATACTATATTCCAATTTCAGTTTATGATGCTCATACTTTATATTTTCATATATTTTGTTACGAAAAAGTTCAATTTCTACTCCGCAGTTCAACATTACGAGGTGGTATGTGCCACGTAAAACACATAGCACACTCGTAAAATCATAGCAAAATTTCCCATCAACATATACACAAATAAAAATCATTATATTGATCTCGATTAATGAGTTTTCTAAAAAAATCTTAAAATCAAAGTTAAGTTAAACGAATGAGATATTGCGGTTATGCGACTATGATCTGCATAATTGGTACATGATTGAGACTAATTTGTGCACTTAATTATTATCGTGAAATCTTAATTACCTTCACTTGCTGCAGCTAAGCTGAATAGTGAATAGTATGATGGCAGATATTAGAACAACTAGTGCTAGCTTCGCCATTTAATTTGAATCTTCTATTTTATATTAGAACAAGCTCTGCCGATATTTCTCTCAACCTTTCTTCCTTCTTGTGTTATATATCGTTAAATATATATTTTTCCTGGACAAAAGAAAACAGGTAATATATAAGCGGTAATTTGGTAATAGAGTAAAGCATTTTAATTAGTTTGAGAATTTTGTAATAGAGTAATTTATCAAAAATAAAATAAAATTGGTAATAGAGTAATACCATATTTAGCATTAGGATTTGCTTCCATTTAATTCGGGCTCAAAACCTGTTGTAGATATTTGAATTTTAGTGGGAGTATAGGTATAATATGTACCTTATCAGTATTCCTTTTTATCAATTACTTTTTTATTAATTTTATATAAAATATAGCATTATGTTAAGATTTTCATAATAGACCTATAACCCTAATGAACTTATTTTGTTTTGTTTATGAAGATGACATTAATAAACTAAAATGTAAAAGCATACTAGAAGTTATATAAAAAAATTAGTAATAGGGTATTTTATACTAAATTATTAATTGAATCGTGATTCAATCATTTTGTACCACTAAAACTCCTATTATGTGAAATTCGTTATTCAGAATTTTCTGTCCGTCCTACCGAAAACATTGCAATAAACCAAGTGGGTGGAAAACTGTAGATGGTCTTGTAAAAAAAAGAAAAAGAAAAAGAAATTTAGATGGGAACGCCAACTCAAAGCCCGATGGAAGCAAAACAAGTAAAGGAGGAAAGGAAAAAAGAACAGGCTCATGGGAGAAAGGTGGAAAAAAATCCCAATGTACACATGTTCTTAATTTTTTTTCCAAAATACATAAGTTATAAATTTTTTTCCAAAACTACACATGTTTGGCATTCACCGTTTTTGACAAACGCAGTGAAGATTGTCACCGTGTTTGACAAACACGGTGAATATTTCACCGTTTTAAGAAAAAACGGTGACGTATTCACCGTTCTTCTCTAAAACGGTGATATATTCACCGCTTTAAACTAGAACAGTGAAGATATCACCATTTTAGTTAAAAACGGTAAATTTGTCACCGTTTTAGGGCAACATGTTGAATACCTTCACCGTTCTAGGTTAAAACAGTGAGTATTTCACACATGCATCTTTGAACTAACTTATCTCACTCGTTTGGACTCGGAATTGAGATCTGTAAAATTCTACGTGATCGTGGTTGATTTTCCCAACTTTTTCGTGTTGAGCTTAGATACTAACTCTTGATAAATTGCTCCAGAATATTTATACTTGAAATGTCATCAATAAAGTGTTTCAATGACTACTTAAGTGCATAGGATAGTTTTTAGACAATGCAAACTCAAATCAAAAGACCTAAAAATTTTAAAAACAACATGGATAGTTCACTACAATGACATAACACTAGAATAAACACGATAATTTCACTCATTTGCTTCATTCTTGCCCACATTTCTACCTCTTCCTCCTCGTCCTCCATGACGTCCTCGGCCTCTTCTTCCCCCTCCGCTTCTGCTTCTTGGCGGGCTCGCTCAACGACTGGTCGCGGATTTCTCTTAACCCGAGCCCCAACTGGAGTTACATATGGCGGTGGAGGTGGCGGTGGCTGAGATGGACCAGTAGCTTGCTGGTAGATCGGAGGTAAGGGGTTTGTTGCTGCGGGGTTTGATATATCGGACTCTGTTGCTGATGGTGGAAATAAGAGAACCCTTGAGGGAAAATGTATGGTTCCTGAGATGGACCGTGACTCGATGACCCTCCAGTGACATCCAGTGCAGGTGCCCACGTGTACTCAAATTGTTCAGGGAGCTCGGTTGCTTGAGTTGTACGCACCTCTTCGAACGTAGGCATAGGCTTGCGTTTGCTCCTTCGTGGGGGCTCAACCGGGGGCACAATGGGCTCACCATCACGGAATGATGGGTGTGTCGGAGTGGGAATGGGAGAGTAGGCCACGACATCCCTCCTTTGCTTTCGGGTACAACTCAAGAAGTTGTTCATAAGCCTTCGTAACCAATAAGTTTTGCGCTCATCCATGGTTGGAGCATTATCGAGGGTGTGCTTGGCGTGTTCCAAACCATCAACCTAAGCAATTCACATAATAAATCAAAATTAATTAAACCTTTAAACAAAATAATTAGACTACGAGGGAGATTAGGATGACTTACCAACGAACCCATCACAACACCTTGCTTTGACACCCATCTATTGGTAAACTTCCGATACCACTGCATGTACCCATCGTGGTATCCCATAGGCCTCATCTCCGGCATCCCTTGGACCACCCATGTGGTTCTATTCTCCCAAATGTTCTACACGAAGAGCCTCTTCGTCCATTTTTAGGCAGAAGCCGGACAGAGGTTAGACGGGTTTCCGGTTTGTAAGGGACGGGAGCTTAGCAGGACGGGGGCTTTAGGGTCAAACTCTAGTAATTCTTTCTGATGTGGAAGATCGGACTTAGCCGCAACCACAGAGCATACTTAGAACGAGACTAGAGAGGATAAATTGAGGGAGAAAGAATTGTAATTGTTGTGGTGTGATTTTTAAGTGGGGGGAAGGGTTCTATTTATAGTGGGGGGAAGGGTTCTGCCGAAATTAATTGGGGAAGCATCAAGGTATTCGACGAAGACGGTGAATACACTGCCTTTACCGAAGACGGTGAAAGGAGCGACGTGTCTTGCTGTGAGGCGTCGGATCTGGGAAGAAAACCACGATCCGCGCCTCCTCGCATCTGACGGCCACGGTGAAAGCAAAAGCGACGCGGATCGCTGACGCAAACAAACACGCGGTATTCACCGTGTTTGTCTAACGCGGTGAATACACCGCGTTTGTCCACGTCAGCGATCCGCGTCGCTTCATCGTCGCCTATAGAAACGGTTTGACTTACACCGCGTTTCAATAAAACGGTGATCTGTTCACCGTTTGCCTCTAAAACGGTGATTGACTCGCTCGTTGTTCACCGTTTTAGAGAAGAACGGTGAATACGTCACCGTTTTTTTTTAAACGGTGAAATATTCACCGTGTTTGTCAAACGCGGTGATAATCTTCACTGCGTTTGTCAAAAACGATGAATGCCAAACATGTGTAGTTTTGAAAAAAAAATTTATAACTTATGTATTTTGGGAATTTTTTAAAGAACATGTGTACAAGTGGGATTTTTTCCGGAGAAAGGTATGGGTTTATTGGACTGGTGAGAGCAAATTTTGAACTATGTGATTATGATCCTGGAAGAGTCGGGTTGTTTTGGTTGTTAGAGGTGAAGGCATGAGTGCTGAATTAGGGAAAAAGATTTTTTATACTATCATTTGAAGTCTGAATGAAGAATGAACTACAGTTTGAACTATGGGTAAAAGCAAAGCATAAGTTGTTGATGCTTATGATAAAATAGCTAAAAATATGTTAAGTACCGTATGTATCATATAAAATATGAGTGTATAAATGTTAGATAAGTGAATAACTACTTGAGTTCTATCATGTTTAGAAGATAATTCCCACACATATAAACTAATTTGAGTTAATTCTAAAGTACAGGAAACAGATAACACCTTAACCAAAGTTCATAAATCCAAATTCTCATCAACTAATTTAAGTTTACTAAATAACATACGAGTTTAAAAATCCACATTTCGAAATCAAAGCACATAAATGTGAAATGCTTACTTTGATTTTTGAGTGGGCTGATAGTATAGATATTGGAGGTGTGTTGCATGGCTAAGAGAATCAAGTCCAAACTTGCCAAGTATTGGTTTGAAGAAGAGTTGGAGAATTCCAAGATGAATTGGTTGTGCTATATGGCAGTCATATTAGATCCTAAGTGCAAATTTAAATATCTTGAAGAAGCTTTGAAGAAGCTATATGGCGAAAGCAGGGGAAAACTCTGGCTGAAGAGATGAAAGATGAAATGCATGTTCTGTTTGACCATTACAAGCATAGGCTCGAACTTCATTGTACTTCTCCAATTGTGATTCAAGAAGATGAGCAAGAACCTAGTAGAAGTGGGGATGGGAAGAAGAAATGGAAGTTTTGGGATGATTTCAGGAAAAAGAAAAGAGAGGCCATTCGGAAAGGAACTAGAAAAGTTCCAAATCTGAGTTTGATAGGTACCTTAAGGAGGAGGAGAATGACGAGGAGCTTACACGAGAAATGGTGGGTTCTGAAGATGATGAGTACAAGTTTGACATCTTGGGATGGTCGTCGCGAAGTGGGATGAAATATCCTATTATTTCTGAGATAGCTACGGATATTCTCGCTGTTCCTATTTCCACTGTTGCTTCTAAGTCGGCATTCAGCACAGGAGGTCGAGTTTTAGTTTTGTTTCGGACCTCATTATCCCCTGAAGTTGTGGAGGCTTTGATTTGTTGTGAAGATTGGATAAGATCTTCTGACTCTGAGTTGGTGGCTGATGGAGAAGATGAGGGTGATGGAAAAAGAAAAGAGAGGCCATTCGGAAAGGAACTAGAAAAAGTTCCAAATCTGAGTTTGATAGGTACCTTAAGGAGGAGGAGGATGACGAGGAGCTTACACGAGAAATGGTGGGTTCTGAAGATGATGAGTACAAGTTTGACATCTTGGGATGGTGGTCGCGAAGTGGGATGAAATTTCCTATTATTTCTGAGATAGCTACGGATATTCTCGATGTTCCTATTTCCACTATTGCTTCTAAGTCACCATTCAGCACATGAAGTCAAGTTTTAGATTTGTTTAGGACCTCTTTATCCCCTGAAGTTGTGGAGGCTTTGATTTGTTGTGAAGATTGGATAAGATCTTCCGACTCTAAGTTGGTGGCTGATGGAGAAGATGAGGGTGATGAAGTGGTATTTCAAAATGGTGAGGACTTAATCTTTCTCTTTATTCTTATATTTGCTATCTTAATCAAATCATATTCTAACAAGTTTTTATTGTTTATGTTATCCAGTATTTGCGGTTTTTCAAGATCAAAGTGCAAGTGCACCTGCAGGACCTAGTAGAACTGTGGAAGCTCTCATTCTACCCATGGCTTGATCCCGAGTGCTACTAGGTCACCTGCTGAACAAGACTATTTTGATAACTCTTCTGATGGGAATGATGATAATTATGTCTATGTAGAGTTTGATGAGGCTGAGTGATAATGGTAGTAGTGTTTATCTTGTTAATGATGGATGAATTTAGATTTTACTTAGACGTTACCATTTGAGAATTATAAAACTAAAGTGTTTAATTATGAGTTGACAATAATCTCATCTATTATTTTTAATAATTTTATATTGAACAAAATTATTTGCTTTTATATTGTCTTATCAATATTATATCACAAAATTATTTATGTTTCGCACCATGCACCAAAATTGTTTTAAAAAATGTAAATCTTACAAATTTAATCTTAATTTAAATTTTAAAATCTTATAATTATTGTGATAGTTGATATACTTTCAATTATTTAAGTTATAAAATAATATATAAAATTAGTTAAGTTAGCAATTTAATTCATTAAACTACTGATATCGTACGTGTTATACAAATTTTTGTATACATACAATTCACCAGCACATATCAATACATTCAATGGAAGTGAAAAAATCGAACCACACGTCCACACTATAGATTACACTTTAGGTTAAAGAATCTTTTTTTTTTACAAAAGGTAATCATATATTGATAGGACAAAACAGGTAATTACATCCTGGAGTTCAGCCAGGCCTGAAAATCAAAATAACGACACATAGACGGGGACAAAGATAGGGCCTTTCTAGCTACCACATGAGCTACCCTATTGCTATCCCGACCTATAAATCGCACACTAAATCCTGAATTAGCCACAAGCATCATCACCACCTCTTCCAAAACAGCCCCCATCCGACTGTCTCTCACATCTCCTTGGCAGATTTTATCAATGACCACCTTGGCATCTCCTTCAAACTGCATCCCCGAGAACCCATGATCCAAACACCAGTTGATAGTCTCCCGGAGGGTTAGTAATTCCACCACCATGGGATCATCAACAAAAGGGAAGTGCATCCCAATAACCCAGAGGACACCTCCTGCCTCATCACAAACAACTACCCCTCCTGCCGGGTGCGATCCCCTACGAAAAGCCCCATCCCACCGGCACACAGGCCCCCCCCCCCTGAACCACCCCCCGTCACCCCAGGTTGATGCTGGCTACGCTCAGTAGCGGGTTGAGATTCCAGCGGCAGCCGTAGCCACTCATTAACCTGTTGATTATACTGCCTGATTAAAGCAGGAATCCCAAACTGTTTACCTTCAAAGACAACCCAGTTACGAGACTTCCAGATCCTCCAGAGTACAACAGTTATCAGCATGAAATGAGTGGGCTTGTGCAGGATAGAGAACAATTTTTTCAGGAAGAAAGGGAACGTAACCTGAGGCAAACCTTCCCCAAGATACTCCAAACCGGACTGAGTCCAAAGTGCCCTAGCCACAGGACATGTCAGGAATAAGTGCTCCATTGTCTCCCTCGCATCCCAACACACCGGGCATCGGGGATGAACCGCAATTCCACGTTCTAAGAGTGCTTCCGTCGTCGGGAGGATTCTATTAAAGATTTGCCAGACAAACACCTTCAGCTTAGGGGGAATATTGGCATTCCAAAGACTGATCCAATTTTCCCTATCCATCCAACTAACCTGAGCCCTTCACCGACCATTCTGCTGATCCAAACCAACCGCAAAATGATATGCCGACTTCACTGAGAAGACACCAGCCGCAGTGCCTTGCCAGATCAGACGGTCCTCAATATTCTGCCTCGGAAGGGGGATCGCTTTAATCACACTACACGTTGGGGGATCAAACCATTGGCTAAGTTTATCCTCACACCAGCGCCCTTCTCCTGAACAGATCACCTCAGCATCCTTCACCTCCCCAGTCATCGGCAAAACCCGGGGATTAAACACAAGGGAGTAGTTGGGCTGCTGCGGTACCTAGTTCGACTCGAGCAACAAGGTCGTCTGCCCATTACCAATCTGCCAACGTAATCCCGTAGACAGCAACTGACGCCCAAACAGAATGCTCTGCCATTCCCAAGAAGGACGAGATCGAGCTGTAGCTGAGAGGAAAGAGCCAGTGGGAAATATTTCCCTTTATAAACCTGGGCTAACAAAGAGTGAGGCTCCATCAAGATCCGCCATCCAATCTTAGCCAATAAAGCCTGATTAAACAAATCAAACCTACGAAAACCCATCCCCCCTTCATGCTTACTGCGACATAAATTTCTCCAGGACATCCACCGAACTTTGGACTGGCCATCCTCCATCCCCCACCAAAAACGAGCTATATGCTTGTCAAGCAGACGACACAGAGAAAGAGGAAGCCTAAAGCAGGACATAACATGTAGCGGCAGGGCCAGAGCGACCGACTTAATCAAAGTCTCTTTAGCCGCCCAGGACAACGTCCTCCGCTTCCAACCTTGTAGGCGCTCTAACAACTTGTCCTCCAAATAACGGAAAGTTTCCATTTTGGACCGAGCTATCAAGGTAGGGAGGCCATGATATTTATCATGCACACCCACCGCCCCCACCCCAAGAATCGCCCCCAAGAACTCGTGATCAGGCAAGAAGATGTTCTTACTGAAGCAAACCGCTGACTTGTTCAAGTTCACTTTTTGGCCACTCAGCTCCTCATACTCATTCAGGACTTCAATAAGATTCTCACACTCCTGGAGCGATCCACGGAGGAACAAGTAAGAATCATCAGCAAAGAACAAATGAGATATTTGGGGAGCTCGAGGAGCAACTTTGACCACTTCTACCGAAATAGCCTTCCGAAGCAGAGCCGCGAACCCCTCCGTACACAACACAAAAAGAAGAGGGGATAGAGGATCCCCTTGCCGGAGACCCCTAGACGATTTAAAAAAACCAGAGGGGGCTCCATTCATTAGAACCAAAAAAGAAGCCGATTGCAGACACTCCCGCACCCATCCTCTCCAGATCGAATTAAACCCCATCTTAGCCAAAACCTCAAGAAGAAAGGACCATTCAACTCTGTCATAGACTTTTTCCATGTCAACCTTCAGAGCCATGTATCCCTTCTTGCCCCGGGTTTTAATTTTTAGATAGTGCGCCAATTCATGTCCCAGGAGAATATTCTCCACAATCTGCCTATCTCGAATAAAACCATTCTGCCCTTCCGAAATAATCACAGGCAACACTACTGCCAATCGTTCCGCCATAATTTTGGTAATCACTTTGTACACAAACTGGCATAGGCTAATCGGGCGGAGTTGCCGCATGGATTCTACCTGGTCCACCTTTGGAATCAACGTAAACTAGGTGTGATTGAAGCTACGGAGCATTCGACTTGTTTCAAAGAAAGGGCTAACCGCAGCAGACACTGAATCCCCGAAAATTCCCCAAAAACTTTAAAGAATGTCCCCGTAAAACCATCCGAGCCAGGTGCCTGCTTCGAACCCATACCGAAAATAGTTCTACGAATCTCCTCAGGATGGACCTCCGCCGTTAGGTTCGCATTCATCTCCTGGGTCACACTGGACACAATCGGGAGGTCCGCCACCCTATCAGCCATATTATGAACCTGACTTTCCGATGTGAATAGGGTTTGGTAGAAATCAGTGGCTATTTCAGCCTTCCCACGCTCCTCCGTTACCCACTCACCATAGGTATTATACAGGCCAGCAACAAAGTTTTTTACGGCGAGTTCTCGTGACCGTATGGAAGTAAGAAGAGTTCTTATCACCTCTTTTCAACCATCGGACTCGAGATTTCTGCTGCCAATACTCTTCTTCCGCCTCCCACTGCCTAGATAATTCCGCCTCCAACCCCGCTATTTCCTGCCAATTGATTGGCTGAATAGCCTTAATCCTCTCAATCTCACACTTCAGAGCATGGATATTCCGCAGGGAATTCGTGGTCCCCGCACGACTCCAGTCATATAGAAGATGACGAAGCTTCTTCAGTCTCTCCCACAATTGAAACATCGGAGTACCATGACTTTGTTCCTGCCAAACGTAGGCTACCATTGCCTTGACCTCCGGGTTATCTGCCCAGCGAGCATCAAATCGAAAAAGAGGACGGCACATCCTGATGTAAGGTTTATCAGACAGAAGCAAAGCCCGGTGATCAGACCCTTGATCAGTGAAATGCTTAACAAGCATTTCGGGAAAAGAATCCATCCAAGTTTGGGAACAAAGGGCCCTGTCTATTCTTTCCCGAATACACGCTTGATCCATCCGTTTGTTTGTCCAGGTAAACAGGTCCCCCTGGAAACCAGGATCATGCAGCCCAATATCCTGAATCAAGTTTCTAAGGTCCATGGATTGGGAAGCATTCCAAGGGTTACCACCATCTTTTTCACCGGCATTGAGGGTAACATTTAGATCCCCAATGATCACAAAGGGAAGAACGAGGCTGTCACAAATCTCATGAATCCGAGTTAATTGATTTGCACGCACAGTAGCATTACAACTCAAGTAAACACAAAGCACCACATACGAAGAACCATTATCATTAATAGTCGAACAAATACAAAAACTAGAATGGAAAAACACCGAAGTATCCACTCCGAGGGACCAAGCTACGACAAGACCTCCAGCACCATTAATGGCATCAACAAAGAAACAATCAGAAGACTCAAACCCTAAACCCCGAAGACGCCGGGTAACTACTCTGCGGGACGATCTTGTTTCAGAAAAGAAAACAAGGTTCGGTTTATTCGAACGAACCAAACCAACAGCTGTTTGGAATGTGAGGGATGGTCCTATTCCTCTCACATTCCAAGCCAAAATCTTCATTTAACCTCCTGGGGCCACTCTCCGCTGGCTTCCTCCACCGTATCATTAGTCTCTTGCTCTTCTACGAATTGCTTTTTGGGTGTGGGGCTCGCCTCCAAACCACCCTCCAACTCCTCTAGGGGACGCTTACGACTCCCGGTCGCCAAGTTAGACCCGTACTCATTGAGGTAAGTACTCATGTCCCCTTCTGCCTCTTTCGCTATACCCTTCTCTTCATTAATCCTCATACCAGCTTCGAAGGCCGCCACCACCTGACGAACTGGCTCCGGGAGAACCTGGGTAGGCTGATCCATTGGCAAGGGGCGGTTCTTAATCACAAATCGCTGAGCATCCTCTTCCGAGGAAGAACTAGTGGGAGAAGCCCGCCCTTCATTCATTACGGGGGGTCATCAACCAGCTGAGTCACCTCCTGGGCCACCGGACTTTGGGCCTGCGCGGACCCGATGGCAGCAGAAGAAGTTCCCTTCTCGGAACCCAGCTTCTTCCCAACAGGTGGATGGGCCAGGCTTTGGGCCCTCGCAGACTCCATGGCAGCAGAAGCAGCCCCCTTCTCGGAACCAGTCCTCTTCCCAACGGGTGAATGGTCCAGGCCCTTCTTCTTGCGAGCAGCCCCAGCAGGATTACTGGGCCGGGTTGCCGCGCCCTTATCCTTGCGGGCAGAGGTCCTGCGGGCTGGAGCCAGATCAGGCCCAACACTAGCCAAGGCCTTCTTGCTCAGCCGCTTCCCCTTCTGCCTTCCCTTAGCAGCCGCCTCTTCAGTCTTCATCGGCCGCACTGGAAGGGGATCCTCATCCTCCCAGTCCTCAATAATCAGCCTCCTCCGGCGAGCAGCCACCGGAGTTATGTTGACCGCCTGAGAATCCTCCTCGACCCTAGTACCCCCCGGCTTCAGTGACAGTCGGGGGCAACTTCAGCCCATCTCCACTCCCCACCCGATGATGAGTTGGATATTCTCGATCTCCATCATTTCCAATCTTCCCCCGATCTAGGCTTCTCCCCTCAGGTCGGCTGCCAGACCGCTCAGACGGGGGAACAGCAGGCGGGGAAAAAGAGGAGCGAGCCCGGCCCAGCCTTAGCACCGGCGAACGAGCTAGCTTAAAACCTCGCGGACTCAATCGCCATTGCCCAGGCGCCGTCAACGCGGCCATTTCCGCCACCGAATGTTGCAGCTGTCTTTGAGGTGGATTCTGGTATCTGACTTCCTGCTCCCCCTGTGGTCCAGCTCCCACTTTGCTAGCCCCCTGCAGCCGATATTCTCGGTTTACCCAGACAGATTTGCCACCTCGAGGAATAGGCCCCAATTTCTTGGTGCTCATATAGGGACCGAACTTCTTTCCGGGCTGGAGGATCGAAAGTACATGATCGGTTTGAGTGCCCCATGCGGCCGCAATGGAAGCAAAAGCTCGGCAGATGTTCATATTTTAGGCTGACCCAGAAACAGCCCATGTCATCATTTGTTGCAAGGATCTGTGATCGAAGAGGCTTGGAGAAATCAATGAGCGCCTTAACCTTCACGAACCAGCAACCCGAGTCTTGGCAGGCAAACACCCCTGACTCTAAGACCTTCCCAATAGTGGTATGCACCACTTTCCTTCCGAACTGTTGAGTGCAGCAGTCTTCCTTGACATTCCACAGCTGAACACGAAACGGAGCAACCGCGAGATCATCATAAGTTTGCTTCATGATGATCGGTGTCCATGCCCGAAGATGGATGATCTTGTCATTGATAACCCATGGTGTCCGTTTGAGGACCCAAGTCTTAGCTTCCTCATTCGGTAACATGAATTCAAGAAGTCCATGTTTTGCCTGGACTACTCGGATTCGCCCCTGAATCAGCCATGGAGCAATCACAGATTCCCGGAGCTCCGTAGTGGAGATTCTGTTCTCCGTGAAGACCCGACCGAGTAGGGAGTGTGCAGCACGGTACCTTGTCGATTGTACCTCCTCCATGGAAAACTGAACTACTTGGTCATTCGAAATGTGGTCCATGGTGTTGTCCTGCGAAGAAGAGGGGTTAGAAACCATGGTAGACTTCAGCTGCGAAAAAACTAGCAGCTCACGCTCATTCGAGCCTTTCAAAGGGTGCGATTTCCGCTCACAAGAGATGGTCTCCAGAGCAAGAGAAGGCCCTGTTCCCAGTGGATTGGCGATAGCAATAGAACTATTGCAACTGCACTGATGAGAATCAAGAACCATACCTGTGTCGAAATTGCGCCTGGGAGAAGAAGGAACAACCACAGTTTTTGCCGTCGACAGAATTCTCAAGGATGAAGTGAGATTAGTCGGCCACAAAGCGAGCCCTTTATAGTGGTGATCAAATCTTCCCCCAGGGATCTTCGGGATCACACAGGTAACAGAAGGTTGAGTTTGCCTCAAAAAGGGACTCTTATTTACCCGGTTAGGAATTCTAACTGATTGAGGAGAAATCCCAACGGATTTGGGGAAAGGATTTTTAACAAATATCCCCCCAACTACTATCCGATGAAATAGGAAGCCAACTCTAGGCTGATCGGCGAACCAGCAAAACTCACCGGAGACGCTGATCAACGAACGCCGGGATTCCTCCCCTAGCTGTAAGTCCACTGGACTCGAACCAGCGATCAAAATCTTTTCATCGGTTTTCAGCGAGGCAACCACTGACCTCGCACCTTTAAAATAAGCTTCTGAGACTGGATCTACTCCGGCTATAGAACCCATCAAATTCGACGGCTCCGCCAGTTGATCATGTGCCTCAGGTTCCCAATCCTCCATGGAAGGGATGACGAATCGCCAAACTGCTATCTTGGATAGCTTTTTCCGCTTCATGTTATCAAGAACAAAGTTCTCAGCCAGGATAAACCCAAGCTTCCTCTTTCGATGACCATCCTTTGGATGGCACGATCTTGCAGCCTCCAAGCCACACCTACTCCGGTAAACGCCTCTGCGCCCTTGCAAAACATTCTTGGCCGGCATACCAGTACAATCCACCATCTATTCTTGCAGGAAATCGGCTCTGCTGATCATCCGGCGACCACACACAATGGAATCCTTGATTCCGAAGGCATCTCAGGAAAATGGCGGCGATCATGGAGACCAGGAGATACCCAAGCTCTCGCCCCCGACGGAGGAGAGAGGGGGGGAGCTCCGAACAACATTTTTTTTAAAATTATTTTCGGTTTCAAGTTAATTACCATACCCACTTTTTCTCAAGCAGCCCATTACAAAAAAGGACAGCTAAAGGGAAAGTGAAATGGAATTAGGAAACCGAAAAGCTAAAGTCTGATTGTGCCATTCAGATTTCGGGCTGTTCTACTCGAGCCCGTTAAGGAGATTTTTGGGTTTCTGGTACCCGAAAATCGAAAGTTTCCTTAACGGGTTCAGGTTTAAGCTAAGCGGGTTCTCTGATTTTGGGTTCACCAATTTCTAGGTTTGGGTTACCTAACCTGACCCGAATCAAACCAACAGCCCTACCTTAAATTCATTCTTTTTTGAACTCTATATATTCAAAGTCAATTTTCAGCCTTCTTGCTTGATTGACATTTCCCATCAACTTGTTATTGTACATGATATACACAAGATATTCATCTTCTGTGCAAGAAAATTGTTGTTTTTCTTAATATGAATATATAAGGAAAAATTCACATGGAATAAAAAAAAACAGATAAACTTCTAACTAACAAGCATGATATATTTGAATGAAAGTAGATGTCATTTATTACTTACCCTCTCACATCCACTCCAATTACGCTTGCACCTAGAAGCACTACAAATCAAACTCAATACTCGAATGACAAATTTATGGAGCTCTGACATAGATCAACTGGATTTTTGCCTATCCTTTAAGTTCATTGCACCAAACTTATCAAACATGCTTAAAACACGATGAAATACATCCAATTGTTTCATTATTTTAAAGTTCTCTTCACAATCCTTTGCCAGTCTAGCCACATATTTATACAATCATACTTTCACATTTGGATCATTATTGTTTAATCTTTTAGAATGATGAATTTGAGAATTCAACCAAAATGCAGCATAGTGACAAGGCCTATTCATTTGATCTTCCCACCTTTTACCAATGCTTTTCAAAACAAGTTTGTATCTAGATAAAAACATATACAATTCACAAGTTAAAATAATATAAGATATCACAAGTTAATAGGTGTAGTCAACTTGGAAATTACCATTTTTACACAGTATGAAAGTTGTTCTTAATCTTTTATATAGATTGGATCAACTCAGATTATTGAAAGAGCATTTTTTTTATCAACTATAGGAAGCACATTGACTTTTTCGGAGTCTATATATTCAAAGTCCATTTCCAGCCTTCTTGCTTGATTGACATTTCCCATGAACTTGTTGTTGTGCATGACATACAAAAGATATTCATCTTCTATGCAAGACAATTGTTGTTTTTCTTAGTGTGAATATACAAGGAACAATTTCACATGGAATAAAAAAAACCAGATAAACTTCTAACTAACAAGCATGATATTTTTAAATGAAAGTAGAGATCATTTATTACTTATCCTCCCAAATGCACACCAATTACGCTTGCACCCAGAAACACTAAAATTCAAACTCAATACTCGAATGACAAATTTATGAAGCTCTGACACTTTATTTCCAAATGAGGTCCATCGATCAACTGGATGTTGCCTATCCTTTAAGTTCATTGTAGCAAACTTATCAAACATGCTTAGAACACGATGACATACATGCAATTGTTTCATTATTTTAAAGTTCTCTTCACAATCCTTTGCCGGTCTAGCCACATATTCATAGAATCATACTTTCACCGTTGGATCATTATAGTTAAATCTTTTAGAATGATGAATTTGAGAATTCAACCAAAATGGAGCATAGTGATATGGCCTATTCCCACAATTTACAAATGCTCTTCAAAATAAGTTTGTATCTAGATAAATACATAAACAATTCACAAGTTAAAATAATATAAGATATCACAAGTTAATAGGTGTAGTCTACTTGGAAATTACCATTTTTAAAAGGGTTAATACCTTATTTTGGCCCGAACTACGATCATATAATCAACTTTGGTAATTGGTTTCAGCGGCCTCAACAATGCAATATATAGACTCAATTGGCCCGACACATGGTTTGACCGTTAGTCAACACGCCATGTCATTGCCTCGTCAGCCAAAAAATCATTAAAAAATTTAAATTCAAATTATTTTCCTAATTTCTATTATTTATCATTATCAAATTAACCAAAATATAAAATAATATAAAGTAATTTTTTTAAATGATAAATTTTATAAATTAACCAAAAATTATCAAATTATTTTAATTTTTGGTTAATTTGAAAATGATAAATAATAGAAATTAGAAAAATATTTTGAATTTGAATTTTCTTAATGATTTTTAGGGTGACGAGACAATGACATGACGTGTTGACTATCCAAATTGACGGTCAAACCATGTGTAGGGCCAATTGAGTATATATGCTGCGTAGTTGAGGCCAGGATTTTAATTTCTGAAACCACGAGCCAAAGTTGATTATATGGTCATAGTACGGGCCAAAAAAGATATTAACCCTTTTTACAAAGTATGGAAGTTGTTTTTAATATTCTCTATAGATTGGATCATCTCAGACTATAGGAAGGACATTTTTTTTATCAACTATACGAAGGGCATTGACTAGAGGTAGAGCAAATCTAAAGACAAGTTGTCACAACTTCTCAAAAACTACCATCAAATAAAATACCTTAAACTCGTTTTCCTTCCCTAAGTTTAGCAACGCTACTCTTCCTACACTTTTCACAAGAGAACATTCTCATGAAGGAACCCTTATTGTCACTAAGGGTTCGAAAAATCAAATATGTTGTAGCAGTACTTGTAACTGCAACTTTGACCAAATCTTTCCTTTGAGTGAACTACCTCATCATGACAATAAACATTGATCTCGCCTACATTAAAATTTTGATTTCTTTACTCTTGAACATTTTAGTCTTTTGTAAATTAATATTCTTCTAAATATCCTCTAGCATATCCAAGCAATGCGGTTTGTACATGGTGTCCAAAACAAATGCTTCTTCTTCTCCATCAACATTTGTCCTCTCGTCTTATAAGTTGAATCATCTAAAAAACCTTTGTAGCTGTCTTCAAAATCTCAACAACCACAGTTCGTCTTTCCCTCATCAATAGATCGCGTATATGGGTTCAGATTCATGATTTCCCAAGTGATTTGCGGTCGGAGGAGAATGTGGCCCTTCCCCTTAGCGAAATCTTCAAGGAGCTGGTCAGGGGAGATGAAGCTGGAGTTGCGGAAGGGATCTACATGAACTTCATTAGAGTTCTTGTGGAGGTAGATATCTCAGAACCCCTTCCCCCTGGATTTTACATCGAAATCGAAGAGGGTAGAGAACACTGGGTGGAGTTCAAATATGAGAGACTCCCCTCGAATGTATGCTATGGCTGTGGCAAAATCGGGCATTCCCAGCTAATCTGCAAACATCCAGGAGACTATGTGGAGGGGCGATATGGAGATTGGATCAGAGCCGGCCCTCACTCCCCGATCTCCCCGTTTGCTGTGAACCAAAGAAGAAAAACACCAGGAACAACAGAGAGTAAGACAGGGGATAACTTCACTCAGGTTGATGGAAGAAGAACGGCGGATTCCTACCTCGACGGTCGCCTCTCCGGTGGGCGTGGTTTCCAAAGGAAGGAGAGAGGTAGCACTGAGCAGGGCATTACCCGTAGGGTTTTGCCTCCCGCAACGGCTATTTTGTCAGGGTCAGAGGGTGGAAACTCGGGCCCTCCCCCTGGCTTCGAAGGCAGAAAAGCTACTGGAAAATTCGGCCCTCCTCTAACGCTGAAGCAGACCGACGATTTCTCACCATACAAACCTAGATCGCTGTTCCAAGAAGAAGAAGAAGAAGAAGAAGAAGAAGAGGGAGGTCAGAGACAAGGGAGGCGGTTTCTTGAGATGGGTCAGGGCTCTGGTGCCCTAGAGCAAAATGGGAGTGGGTTGGGCCACGCTAGTGGAGCCCAAAACTTCAATCCTTTATTCACAATGGGCCAACCTAACTTCTTTCCTAGTCCTAATTACTTGCAGATGGCCCAGGGGAGTTATTTTTCAGCCCAAGCTCAACAACCATTTGTGTTGTGGGATAATAAGCAAATGGAGGCCCAGTTTTTGAGTCCTTGGGGTCTGAAGGCTCAGGAGCCCAGAAAGAAGTTGAAAATCAGCAAAAAGAGAAGCCAGTATCAATCTCTATGGATGGTGATTTTGATATGGGGGATGAAGGCACGAAACAGGATGGAAACGGTGATGGGAAGGAATCTGGAAAGGAGAAGGTGGCGCTCCATAAGCCACCCAAGCAGCCATGACAATCTTATGTTGGAACTGTCGTGGCCTTGGCAACGACACGACAGTGAAGTATCTTAGAGATATGCATCTTTCTTTTAGGCCAAGTATTTCTTTTCTTATGGAAACAAAACAACAAGAAAATATATTAGAAGTAGAAAGGAGGAGGGCCAAATTTTACAACAAATGGTACCAAAATCCAGTAGGAAGTAGGGGGGGTTTAGCTCTTTGGTGGGTTAAAGACCTCGTGATCAATGTTATCGATCACTCGGAATTTTTTGTTCATGTTTTCGTCAAGCTAGGAACGGGGTTTTTTCTTACTTTTATTCATGCTCCCAATGATCCTAGTGAGAGAAGGGATTTTTGGGGGATTATTAGCAATCGTAGACCCCCTAATGATAGACCTTGGCTGTTGTTGGGGGATTATAATGCGGTGTTGGATACTTCGGAAAAAAATGGTGGTAATCCCCCAAGAAGATTTGCTATGGAACCATTCAAGGAGTTTGTTTTTAACAACGAACTAATTGATTTGGAGTTCAAGGGACCAAGATTCACTTGGTCTAATATGCAACAAGGGGAGAGGAAGATTCTGGGAAGATTGGACAGGGGTTTATGCTCAATTGAGTGGAGGGAGGCTTTTCATCAAGCCATCATTCACAATGAACCTATGGTGGGGTCAGACCATTGCCCTATGAGAATTGAGTTATTTGGGGATCAAATAAGAAGAAGAGCTATATTCCGTTTTGATCACAGATGGCCTAGCTATGAAAACTGTGGAGACATCATTAGGCGCATCTGGCAGGGAGGGGGCAACCACCACTCCTGTCTGAATTTATGCCGAAGAGAGCTACTAGAATGGAGTAAAACAAATGTCAGGAATGCAGCTCTTCGCATCAAAGCTATCCAGAATAGGTTGAAAGAAATCCTTGATTTTTCTAGAGATCCGATTGTTGCCGAAGAAGAGAGAAATCTACATACAGAGCTTAACATTCTGTGGAAGGAAGAAGAGGTGTTCTGGAGACAACGATCCGGAATCCAATGGCTCAAAGGAGGGGATATGAATTCGAGATTCTTTCACACATCGACTATCCAAAGAAGTCATCGAAACAAGGTCATGAAGTTGTTAGATGGAGGGAATAACTAGCTTACTAACCAACATGATTTGCAACATCATTGTGTCTCTTTCTACATGGATTTGTTCAAAAAAGAGAAGAAAGTGTGGACATGAGATCCTATCAAGACATTCCAAGTGTGGTGAAGGATGAGATGAATCAGGCTCTTTGCCAACCTATTGAGGATGAGGAGATTAGAAGGGCCGTCTTTGAGTTGGGATCTGGTAAGTCCCCTGGGCCGGATGGCTTTCCCGGTCTTTTTTACAGGACCTACTGGGATTGTATTGGAGAGCAGCTTTGTGGGGAAATTAAAACTTTCTTCTCACAAAGCTCAATGCCGGAAGGATGGAACGATACTCACTTGGTGCTAACACCGAAGATCTTGAATCCGGAGAGAGTTTCCCAATTCAGACCTATTAGTTGTTGCAACTTCCGGTACAAGGTGATATCCAAAATCATGACAACAAGACTTAATGTTTGGATCCCTCAATTGGTTGATGAGATGCAAACGGCTTTTAGTGGAGGGAGAGCTATTCAGGATAACATCATCATTGTCCATGAGGTCATGCACCATTTCAAGACTCGCCCAAAAGGCGTGGGAAATGATGATTAAGATGGATATGAAGAAGGCTTACGATATGGTTGAGTGGGAGTGTCTGGAGATTATCCTTAGAGCTATGGGTTTTGCAAATCAATGGTGTCTTTGGATCAAGGAGTGCATTGAGACTGTGCGGTTTTCGGTCTTGTTCAATGGTCAACCCTCAGAGTTCTTTCAGCCGTCCAGAGGCATCCGTCAGGGAGACCCTCTCTCTCCATTGCTTTTCATTCTCCTTACTAATGCGCTTTCTTTTCTCATTTCCAAGAGTGTTCAGGAAGGTACTTTTCAAGGCATTTCTCTTAACCCAAATTGTCCTAGACTTACCAATGTGCTTTTTGCAGATGACACAATTCTGTTTGGGAAAGCTTCTTTGGTAGAGGCTATGCATATTAAAAAAACAATGGAGACTTATGGCAAAATGACGGGACAGGAGATCAATTGTGAAAAACCAGCCCTCGCTTTCAGTCACAACACCCCTGATACTATTAAGCAGATCATCGCTCAATGTTTGGGTATCCCTCTTGAAAAGGGTTTGGGAAAATACCTGGGGGTCCCTACCGAATGGGGCAGATCAAAGAAAGAAGTCTTCTCGGTTCTTGTGAGCAGAATGGAAAAGCTTTGTCAAGCTTGGAAGGGTCTTGCTCTTTCTCAAGCAGGAAAAGAAACAATGTTGAAATCGGTCTTTCAGGGTTACCCCACATATATTATGTCCTGCTTCCTCCTTCCAAAAGGAACGACTAAGAAGATGAATTCACGCCTCAATGCTTTCTTCTGGGGAGGGGACATGGAGAAGAAGGCAATCCCATGGAGAAAAGGGAGTGTTTTAACGGCTCCTAAGCAGGAAGGAGGTATGGGGTTTAAGGACTTCCATCAATTCAATATGGCCCTGTTGGCGAAGCAAGGTTGGAGAATTCTTAATGGGAAGGAAGAGACATGGATCAAGCTTCTTAAGGGTCTCTATTTTCCTAATGGTGATTTTATGGAGGCTGAGAAAGGTAGGAGGCCATCCTGGATTTGGGCTAGCATTTGTGAAGCAAAATCCATCTTGAAGTTGGGTTCTCGAAAGAACATGGGAAGTGGTAGATCGATCTCGTTGGAAAAAGACCCTTGGATTCCAGGTATCCCAAACTTTAAGTTGCAGCCGAGGAATAGACAACAACTGTGGGCTTTTCAATGGGTTATGGATGATGGGTGTGAATGGAACCTTGACATGATCCAACAAAGCTGCTCTACGGATGAAGTGGAGGCTATTAAGAGAATCCCAATTGGCACGGATTCTTCTGAGGATGACTGGGTTTGGCATTTTGAGAGATCAGGGTTGTTTTCAGTGAAATCAGCTTACCATATTTTCAGGGAGTCAGAAAGAGATCGGTTGGGGACCTCAAATCCGAATCATCCTAACTGCACCTCAAAAGCTTGGAAATGGCTTTGGAGTCTTTCTTTGCCTCCAAATATCCTCTCTTTTCTGTGGAGGATATCGAGGAATGCGATTGCTACGAAGGGAAATCTATGGCATAGAAAATGTAGTCCATCCCCGCTTTGCGATGTCTGTGAAGGGGATGTGGAGGATGTGTGGCATTGCTTCTTCCAGTGTCCTCACGCTGCTACAGTTTGGCAGATCCTTCAGCCTTCGCTCTCTTTGCCCCAGGACCAGACGCCGGTTGTTATGTGGTTATTGGATATCTGTGTTGGTTCCCCTACAGTCTCTATACCTGGGGTCGTGGCTTGCCTTTGGGCTATCTGGTTGGCCAGGAACGAGAGAGTCTTTAAAGGTATCATCCCCCGCCCTTCAGTGACTTCAGCAAATGCAGTTAGAGATTTCTCTTTCTGGACGACTCCCCTTCAGCATCCTACCCCCCTCGGTGTCCAAGCCCAACACCTCTCTAACCATAATACACTTAGCCCACCACCTAGTTCTTCCCAGTGGGAATTTCACTGTGATGGATCTTTTAGATCGGAATCACAGGTGGCGGCTTATGGGGTCATCATTACGAACTCCCATGGGCAAGTTGTGGATGGTTGTGTTGGCACTTTCTTCTGTTCATCAACGATAGTTGAGGAAGCAAAAGCCCTCTTGACGGCAGTGAGAGCAGCAGTCTCCCTCCACGGTTCAGCTTCTATCTTCTCAGACGTAAGGTGCTTGTGGATATCATTCAAGATCAGCATAAAGTAGGTCCTTGGCAAGTGAGAGCTTGGATTCAGTGGATACGCAATCTGCTCAGAGTGAAAGTCGGATTATCTATCTGCTTTACCCCAAGATCTTGTAACAGAAGTGCAGATTGGGTGGCAAAAGAAGCGGCAAATGGATCTCTCCCCCAAGATTGGATCCAAGTGCTTAATATTATTGATCCGATATTGTAATGTGGCTTTGCTTGTACTTGTTCGTTGATGAAATGGAAATCACATATTGTCAAAAAAAAAAACCAAAGTTCGTCAAAGAAAGACGCATAAGTTATCAATAAAAAAATTCGCCATCATTTTTCATAATTAGTAATTTCTTTTTCTGACGTATACTTTGGTTTATCGACAAGGTCGTGGTTTCGATAATAACATATAGTTTAACGACCTTTTGGAAATATAAAATTATCGGCTATACGTTTATCACCACGTCCAACGATCATATTTCGTTGATAACAGTCATTTATGACAACAATGCTATTTTATCGGCGAGAAACTTTGCGTCAATAATGAGCTTAGTTCATCTCTTCTATTACTCCAACTAAACAAATACGTAGTCTTCCATTAGAACAAACCCTATAAGGAAAAACATCCGTAAAGAACTTGTCATCTAATATTTACTAGGTGGCGATGCCGCACCTTGTCACGGGGCGGAGATGGCCTATGGGCACGTATTATGTGGCCCGTTATGGTATTTTTTAATATTATTAGCTAAAATTAATTTTTTATTAGCACTTTTGTTAGTAATATTGACACAGAAAAGATATATGGCGGTCAACATCCAATTTAAAAATCTTGAAATTTTTTGCTAATAAATTATATTTACCTAAACCCTAGTAGACCCATTGATTATGGGTAGGTATGAGTGACGTATATATGGGTTTGGAAGTTTGTAGATGGGTTTGGGTAGGGGTGGACAATGGGCGGCGGGTTGGGTGGATTTTGGTCTCAAATTGACCCACCTGCTTACTAGTGAGTTGGAATAACTGTGACCCGCAATCCACCCACATACTTTGAGGGTTGGGTTGGGTTGGATGGGTGGCGGATGGGTGCGGTTGGGTCGCGGGTCAACCCGCAAAAGCAATTCTCCAACTAGCTATTAAGAAAGTTGACTAACATTTATAATAACTTCATAGCAAATTAGTAAGATTGTATCAATAATTTGTGATTTTGATACAATTAATAATTTATACTTTGCATCCCAATATTAATGGATATTAACAATAATTTGCATACCAATATCCAATCTCTAATGAATATTGCACAACACAATAACCAATAATAGTACTCAATACTATTCTTTATTCTCTACCTTTTGAAGTATATGGTCAGACTATTATGCAGTTCGAAAATATGATGAATATTCGATACTATAAGAAACGACATTTTTTCATGTAAAAATAGGATGAGGGTCATACGTAGGGCTGCTAAACGGTTTTCCGGTTGCCGGTTTAACCGGTAACTGTACCGGTAACCGAACTTAACGGTAGTCGGCTGGGGAAATTGTGATGGCGGTATGCCGGGATCGAATGAGTAGTTTACCGTCGGCGGCTCGGTAATCCGACACCGAGTAGAAATAAAAAAACATCACGCGCCGCGGCCCAGCTGCCATGCAAGGCAACCCCAAAAGAGAGATAATTAAAACTCAACCGCCTAAAGAGAGAACGCCAAAATCGCAAGACACATTCCCGCAACGTAGACATAATTCCAGAATATGGTCCGACACTTCACCTCCAATCGCCGCCACCGCCCGTCGGAGCGGCAGCTCGCCGGACCCAGCTCCAATTTCATCACACGCGGCCGGAACGCCACCTCCTTGACGTCACACTCCGCCACGACCACGTCCCCCTTCCAAGGCCACGTCCACCGCTCGTACACCGCCGCCGGCATTTCCTGTTTACTATTCATTCTCATGAGTTTATTTGTAGTTGCTGTTTTAGTGTTTACCTATGGGCAATGGTGATAGTGGTAGTGTGGGTGGGTCTGGATGCCGGCGGGGAATCTGGGGAGAGAGTGAATGCAGCCAACTAACCATCAGCACAAGTCATGACATTGTGGACTGGAAATGATGGCATGTGGCGTTGGACGTTGGTGTGAATGGTGAAGATTGATGAAATTGAGGAATGGACGTGGTTGGGGTTGGGTGAAGTCGTGAAGGTGAAGCAAATGGGGTATGTAACAGCCGACAGGGAGACAGGGACAGAGGGATAAGGGATTGACAGCACTCAGCAGTGAAAGGGAAGAGGCAGGTCACTTTCTGTCGGTAATTCGGGACTCCCGTTCCCTTACCGATACCGTACCGAAACGGTAGGCGGTATACCGGGTGGAAAACGGTAGCGGCGTCCGGCTGGTGGTTTGCCATTTCCGTTATTACCGAAACCGGTGAAACGGTAAATGGTAAACCGGCTACCGTACCGTTTAGCAGCCCTAGTCATACGGGTGACCCGCAATGCACCCACCACCGCACCCACATAAGTGCGAGTGGGAGATTTATCAATCCGCAATCCACCCACATCAACCACCCACTGCGTGCGGGTTAGATTATTTGCGGGTAGATTGATATCACTCCGTGGTTGAACCACTCACGTGCCCATCCCTAGTTTTGGGTAGGGTATGGATATTTACTTTCATAATTGGGCTAATACCACTACAACACCCGAACTATCCGAAAAATGCCACTTGTGTCCTATTGTTTCCAATATTCCATCTGTGTCCTGAACTATTATACTTTATGCCATTTGTATCCTGACAATTTCGTTGACCGTTAAAGATAATGGTTGACCAAACGGTGGTCAACTTAACATTGAATTTTGCTGACGTGGCAATGCCAAGTCATTGGCACCTCGCATTTTTAATTTGGATTAGGGTTAATAGCATTTTATACCCTTGTTGAATTTTTTTCATAAATTAAAAAGCAAAAATAATGTGGCCCAAAGCCCCCAAAAATGAACCCAATGCTAGTTTTTCTCTCCACCTCTATCACTGCCCCCGCGGTGGTCTTTCATCCTCCACCGGCGAACTCAGAGGAAGCGTATGATGTCGATTCATCTGGACCACCCACACTTCAGTCCCAAGACTTGGCCGCCGCTGCTAAATCGCCGAGCGGAGGAGCTGCGACGGCAGAGGAGATGTGCAGCGGCGAGGTAGAGGAGATGTGCCTCCCGCTGCTTCTCTAATTCATCGACGTACCGCTGAAATCAAAGGAATTGGTGAAGCTCGGCGCTTCCCCCCGCCTCCGCTAGCGAGCCCGCCCAACACAATTGACGAGGACGGCAAGGTAGAGGAGCTTGACGAACGGAGGGATTAAGAAGATTTGGGGGTTTTTCCTAATTTTTAATTTTGTTTCCCTTATTTTAATTATTTTAGATGGAAAAATAAATGAAAATTGATAATGAAAATTCCACGTCTGATGTCAAGCCAACGCTGACTGGATTTTCTGTTAAATACTAACGGTCAACGCCTATCAACACTAACAAAATAATTTAGGTACTAAAATGTAATAAACAAAAAATTTAGATACTAAAATGTAATGTTCCATCAATATTTTCAGGACATATATGCCAAAAAAAAATTTAGGTTATAAATCTAAAGATCTGTTAAGTATAGGTATCCAACTATAATTTGCATAGTTGAGACTTAACAACGTTTATGGTGATGTATTTAAGATGATAATTATTTACGTTTTTATAAAAAATAGGAAACTATTTATTTGATATGTAAAATTGTTGAAAATTCTAGCCCGGGTGGAAAAAAAAACTCTAGAGAGAAGCAAAAGGAATACAACTGGATCTCGCTTAAAATTTTACGCCTTCAAATTCCATAATGGAAAATGACGAATTTCTAATAAGTAATAACCATATATATTTATTTTTAATTAGACTCTACATTGAGCTGAAAAAATTAGTTGTTCTTGGTGCAATTACTAATTCTCTAGATTGTTGGTCGGTCGGGTATGGACCCGTTCATATTTGTGATTTTTTACAACAACATATTTGTGCTTAGAATACCTAAAATAGTAAACTAATTAGGGTTAGACGAAGATGGCAAAGAAAGAAATAAAGAAAGGGTTATGGAAGGCAAGTGAAAAATGAAATGAAAAGGAAGTAGATGATGAAAAGGTTTTGACCAATTCTCTTAGTTCATTGTTAATACAAAAACCAACCATTTTCACCGTATCAATTTATTGACACTTGCTTATGTAGATGTCGCATATTCTGTTACATGTAGTTAGTAGACATTTGTTTAGTACCCCCCCGTAAATGTACCAAATGAATTTATAAATTTGTTCTTGCAATATTTTAGAGTCGTCTTGCTTTTAACATTTATTTAATGTTTCAAGTAATCAGCAAATATAAAATGGTCGAGTCTTCTCCTACAGTTGAGTGGTACAACATCTTGTATGGTACAAACTAAATTTATACTTTTATGTTATGGTGGATTGGATTCATGGATTCAAGTGAAATCTAAATAATGGAACAATATGTAAATTTAAAAAATTGTAAGTACGAAAATCTCATAAAATTTAGATACCAAACATAATTGTTCAATTGTTTTACATTAATATTAAATTTGGGGTATCAAAATGTAAAATGTAAATTATAATGACTAATTAGTAATTTGTTAGAGCGACTAATTTGTAATTTGTTTGGCAACAGTAAACAAACTTCAGTAAAATTATACAAATTAGAAACATGAATGTGTGTATATAATTACAGAGTAATCTTAATCTATTACCATGCAACATTTTAAGGTCCTAAACTCTTAGAAAGAACCAAACTATGCCTAACGGTGATCTATAATCAATATCTAATTCATCACCAATAGTGTGGAGCAAGTTGCGATTTTAGTGCTATTGACTTCTTTCAAAGGTTCTTCTGAATCTCCTCCTGCTACCTTGCTATCCCCTCCTTCTCCTCCCTTAGCTCCTAATTCTATACAATCTTTTACCACACAACTTCTTCCAACGAAGAATCAGGGCAGGCCACTCTTCCTCTCCCTACAACTTCTTCTCCACAAACTACTCCTGAGATACCATCATCCTCTTATCAAGGCATCAATGCTGAACATGTAGCAGACTTTGATTCTGATGAGGATGAACAACCTAAATTGGCAAACCAAGCAGATTATGCAGAAGATGAGCTTCCTGAGCTGGAAGTTCAGGCTGAGTATGATGGTAGACCCATCCGTGCTAATAGAGGCAAGCTACGAGCACGTATGGATGATTATTATGTTGGGAGTGTTAGAAGATATCCAATGAGTGACTACTTAGACTATGATCAGTTATTCCCTCATGATCAAGCTTATGCTTTGAGCATTGTTTCTGCACCAAAATCTACCACATATCAAGAAGCTGTCAAATATGAACACTAGAGACAAGCCATGAGAGAAGAACAAGATGCTTTGGAAGAGAATCATACTTGGGATGTTGTCCTTTTGCCAAAGAATAAGCAGGCAATAGAGAATAAATGGGTTTACAAAGACAAATACATGTCAGATGGTACTTTAGAAAGACACATATCAAGAATCTGTCGATGACATAATACTAGGTGGAGAAGACACAGAGATGTTGAGGAGGGCAAGAAGTTTCTTAGTCACAATTTTAAAATTAAGGATCTGGGTTGTTTGAAGTTCTTTTTGGGGCTGGAAATCAATAGAAGTAATGAAGGAATTATTGTTTGCCAACGGAAGTACTCCCTGGAGCTTCTAAGAGATACTGGTTACCTCGAAGCCAAATACTGTAAGTCTCCCTTGGATCCTAAAGTCAAGCTGTGTGCAAAACATGGGAAGCCACTTGATGATCCTAAATTTTACAGATGACTAATAGGGAGATTACAATATCTAACCACTACCAGGCCAGACTTGACATTTCCTATACAACAGTTGAGTCAATTTCAGAAAGATCCTTACACAGAACACCACCAAGCTGCATACGGGATCTTAAGGTACATCAAAGGTGCACCAGGTCAATGCATTTTCTTTAAAAGTGATTACTCATTGAAGCTGACTGGATACAACAATTCAGATTGGGCTAGTTGCCCAGATTGTCGAAGATATGTGAGTGGTTACTATACTTTTCTTGGGATTTCATTGATTACCTGGAAAGCCAGAAAATAAACTATGGTTTCTATATCAGCGTCTGAAGTAGAATACCGAGCTTTAGCTCATTTAGTTCATGAATTTCAGTGGTTGAAGGGATTACTTGCAGAATTGAGCGTTCAGGTGCAACTGCCAATTGTCGTGTTTTGTGACAACAAATCAGCAATTCACATTGCTGAGAACCCAATATTCCATGAACGAACTATGCACATAGAAATTGATGTGCATATCACACGAGAAAGGGTGAAATCAGGTTTGATCAAAATGTTCTATGTGAGATCTCTTCATCAGGTAGTAGATTTATTTACCAAGACTCTCAGCAAGTTTAGCATTAAAGAACTATTGGACAAGCTGTGAGTTGAAAATTGATACACTCTAGCTTGTGGGGGGCTATTAGAAGGAAAGGATCAAGGTGTTATTGAGTGTTCTGGTGACCTGAAGATTGTAGGTTAACAACGAAGAACAGGGGAGCTTTGAAACATCTTAAAGGAAGAAATAAACGTTTCTTGTAAACTCAGTCGTTTATTGTTCTTTCGTTACTGGTTAGTTTAATTCCTAGTAGATGAATGTAAGCGAGCCAGGTGCCACAATTACTTTAAATTGGTTCATAATTACTGTTCCAACGATATAAATAAGAACACAGGAAACCCAGATCTTTCTAAGGGTTTTCCGATCCATTTCTGCCTAGCTCTATACTTTTCTACAAAGGAGAATGAGGTGCTTTCTGAAGACCCATCGGGCATTGGGAAAAATTTGGATACGCAGCCGCGGAAATTTGAGGATCCATGCGAGCAGTGTAATTCGGTGCTCTGTATGGTTTTCTTTTCTCTTTCTCGATGGACTTCAAATTTATCGGTAGGCACCTCAGGTTTTTCTCGGTAGCTACTTTATGTTTTAAATCAATCAATCACTTGTTAAAGATGCACTTGCGGGATCGATCAATCATTGACTTAAAGTCTTAAACTCGATGGTGCATACGGCTGTGGTTTGGTTCGTACCGAATTGTATCTGACCAAACTAATGTTTGGGTTGGGCCGCACCGAATTGAGTATAATATAATCTTGTTCTTGACCGTACAAATTTTATAAATAGTGAAAAAATGGACCAAAGTTACATTTAGACCGGACCAAACCAAATCAAAGCGGACCAAAAGTAGTGTTGGTGAAGACGAAAGTGACATTTGGCCATATGGGCTTCCAGGCCTACCATGAGCATCGGGCTCGTGAGATGGATGAGATGAGTTTTGCGACTATGGGCAAGCCTGACTAGAGAAATAAAAATGAAATGGGCCTTTGGGTCTACCTAGGGTGGTAGGCCAAGCAAATCACCGAAAATGAGTAGGGCCGACACCGGTCGGTCGAGATTCAGTCAGACTGAAGTAGAATTGGGTTGGCATGAATCAAACCAGTCGGTGTTTAATTAGGCCGGAGGGGGCAGTGGGTTCGACGACCGTATTTCGTTGATGAAAAAAACTTCTGATGACAACGCAGTTTTTTCAACAAGAAATGCGTCGTCTGTAATGACTGTATTTTTTGTAGTTACTTTTACTAATAGTAATCTTTTATCATATTGCATTTACTAAGTTCATAAATTCTTTGAGAGAACCAAATTATACCTAACGTGATCCTTAATCAGTATCTGATTCATTACCAATAGTATGGCACCTTAACCTCCACAATTTGTTTTAACACCCAAGATTTGGTCCCTTACTGTCGGACTATGGAGACGTGAGAGGGCCGGATGAAATATGATCCTGATTACCAACTAGGAAAATTCGATCCCTATGCTACAAACAATCAAATTTTGGCATCGTTGTCGGGGACTCGCACGATCTTTGGAAAGGGAGATTTGAGCACTCGCTAGATTGGGGCGGTTATTTCCAAGTGAGAGCCTCTACGAATTGATATCACTTGAGGCATGGAGAATGTTCGAAAAAAACTAAGAGCAAGGGATAACTAAAGGAAAAACTAATTAGGATTAACCATTTCCATGCTACCCTCGTCCATTAACACAACACCTTCTGCAAAACGTGGATTGGGCTCTCGGTTGTGACTCGACCGCCCGTGGCTCAACCGTGTCCACGACACGTACACAAAAGAAATATGGATCTCCTAGTCTCTGGAGTACAATGCCTGAAATTGATCTGTTATAACTGCGCTGCTACGGATCGGGAAATCGTCGGTCACTAGAGTCCTGAAAGCCAAATATTACCCTTCTACTGACATTCTACAAGCTAAAGTTGGTCATAATCCAAGTTATATTTGGAGAAGTCTGATGAAAGCAAAGGAATTGTTGGGGGTGGATTTCGTTGGAAAGTGGGCAATGGAAAATCTATAAGGATATGGAACGATCAATGGATTCCTAATAAGAAACTATTTTCGCCTAATTTCCTTGCTGTTGGATTTGTCGACACTACTGCTAAAGTTTAGGAGCTTATTGATCATAATTCCTCATCGTGGAACATTGAAGATGTTCAGGACCTTTTCTCACCTGAAGATCATAATACAATTCTGCGTATACCCCTTTGTAAGACCTCTAAGGAAAATGTTAAGAGTTTTGGGTGGGGACGGATGATGGCTCTTATTCTCTCAAATCTGCCTACAACATGTTGAGAGATTCTAATGGAATACATTAAATGTCAAATCTTTTCTCAACAGATTCCAACCAACCTGGAAGAGAGGATTGAAGCGGTGGGACCGGAGTGTCCATTCTGTGGATTAAATGAAACGCATGAACACATTCTCTGGTGGACTGTTGCTGGACTCGCAGACTGTGGCAACCGAGTCTTGAAGCTTATTGTTTTCAATGTGGAGAAGACTTGATTTGCCATAACTGGATCGCTGAATTTTTAAGGAAGTTTTCAATGGAAAAGGTTCAACGATTCAGTACATAGCTCTGTTTATTTGGAGGGAACGAAACAATCATCAGTTTAATAACTCGAAGTTGGATGATGAAGACATTATCCCTAGAACTGTGAATTGGATTTATGATTACTTGGAAATTAACTCAAAGTGCAACCAAGATAGTGTCTTGCATGTCGTTCCCCAGAAGCAAACAACCTGGATCTTAAGTCAGAACTATGTCCACCTCCTTTCTTGTATCCGATCCTTGAAGTGGATCTTGTTCCTGGGCCTTGACCCATTTCTGATGCCTCTGATATGCGGGCCTGGCCATGGTATCGCCATCGGCAGTCTAGGGATGTACCCAAATGAGTCGCCGGTCAAAGGAATCCACGTCAAGAACTGCACCTTGACCAACACCCTCAATGGTTTGAGGATCAAGTCTTGGCCTGACAGGGAGGTTTGTGATGCCTCTGATATCCATTTCGATGACATCATCATGAACAACGTCTCCTTCCCCATCATCATTGACCAAGGTTACTGTCCTTGGAATACGTGCAACACCACGGTACGCATTACGTACGAACCAGATCTTACTATATTAGTTGGTTAATAATTTTGTGACAATAACGCTTGTTTTTAAACTGTTTCAGGGGCCATCGAAAGTTACAATTTCGGATGTAAGTTTCACCAACATTCAGGGGACTTCAGGAACCCCAGAGATTATTCACTTGAACTGCAGCAGCCTCCATCCCTGTCAGAATGTTCAGCTTTCTAACATTGATGTCAAATCCACCTGTGGCCCACCAACATCTGTGTGCGTCAACGTGAAGCCTACCATTACAGGGAACATCCCACCCGGATGTTAACTCTTTCTTAATTATTCACGATTTTTGTAACGGATTTTTTTGATTAATTGTAGTGTTTGAGCTACACGTAACTACTTATACTTAATTATATTTAGAATGTCGACCTAGCTAGATATTTTATGTAACCCACAAATAAATTTATAAAAATGGGAGCACGGATTTTCCAACTAATTTTACCAGGCAAAGGGTATTATTGGATCATCTGACCTAATGCATCCAAATATATCTCCTGATACTTTTGAATATATGGTTGTAGCCCAACGTGGTGCTAGAGATTGTCTAGTCTACGCCCTGCCTCCACTGGCATCACTAAAAAAAAACATCTTTATTCAGCCATAAAAAATAAATGTCAACATAAAAATCGTGAAAAATACTATCCATAAGAAGTAATGAAGATTACGCTTTCTGTAGCTAATTTCATTTTTTCTGTGCCAATAGTAAATTTCTTCCATTTTACTTGTGGATAGTGATTTTTCACTATTAGTCTAACGTGTAAAAGATAGTAAATTTCCAATCGCTTAGCTCTCTCCAAGCTCCACTATATAAACATAAAAAATTGTCCATCATCATCTTGAACATACACAATAAAGCGATAAACACCAATAGAAAAAAATAAACAATAAAAAAAACAAAAACAAAAATAAAAGAAGATGAAGCATTCATCAAATCTAATGAGAACCTTCTCGACAATGTTATTTCTCCAAATAGTTTTTTTTTTTTTTTTTGTTAAGGGTGAACTAATTTTATTAGAATAACAAGAGAAAAGGGGCAGTACAACTTAGAGACCACAAAAGGTAATTCCTGACGAGAAATTAGGCAACTCGTAGAGTCTTAAACAAGAGAAAAAGCCAAACACGAATCTAATATGTGTTGCCGCAGGAAGCTCTCAATATCTGCAGCAAGATCACCTGCAGTCCTGGAAAGAAATCATGACCACCCAGCGCAGGGAACAAGGCGCAAACAGGACCCAATACGGATACACCATGACAGAAAAGGGACGAGAGAACCCGTTATGTTGCAGGGTTGTTATTCATGTCTTCAGCAGCGTTTCGTGGTATCATTGATGATCTGATATAGCTCATCCAATCCTTTGCAGCTTGTTTATCACTTTCTCCGTCGTGATCAACCAACTCGAGATTGCACTTCCGATTCTACAACATACAATCTTTGGAAGCTAGATCCTTGGGGTTGAGTAACATCGTTGGTGGAGAGAGCTCTAATCGGTACAAACCTCGCCATGAGACGCCGCACTTCTGTTGCAAATTTGCATTGAATGAATATGTGATCGAAACTCCTCGTCGAATCTGCAGAGTTCACATCGGTTCGGGAAGATGAAGCCTCTTCTCCTCAAGTTGTCCTACGTCTAAATCTTATTTTGATATGTTACCCACATGAAGATACACACTTTGGAGGGAACCACGTGTTGCCAAAATAACCTTGGACGGGATTTGAATATGTTGCGGGCTCCGCTGCTCAAGCAGATTGTTATAAATGGAATGAACTATGTAGCCGACTTTTGGTACTGGTTTCCAGCTCAATCTACCGGGACCTGCAAAATCAAGCTGAGAAATTGTGGTACAGGAGTTTAATAAGCACAAAAGATTTTCTCTCTCTTTCAGCCCCCCCCCCCAACGTTTCCCAAAGGATAGACTCGTTCTATAGTATGTAATTCTCGAATATCCGGCTATTGGGGTAGGAGGCAGCAACTGTTACTCTGGGGAAGGCATCTTTGAGTGTTAGGCTGGGATTCCAACGATCAGACCAAAAAGAGGTGAAAGCTCCACTGTCAGGTTCGACACAAGCAAACTGCCAGAAAACCTGTTTTTGGCTGGCGATTATAGTCCAAGGGTTGCAACCTCTATTTCCTCTCACATCTCATGCCATCCATTCTGACTCGGGGTTTGGAAACTTCAGCTCGATTAACTCTTTCCACCATGCATCCTTTTCCACTGTGAAGCGCCAAAGCCATTTGCAAAGAAGTGCCAAGTTTTGGCACGCCATATCTGGGGTCCCTAGACCAGCTCTTTTCTTCGGCCCTTTACACGTTTTCCACGCCACGAGATGCAACCTTTTATGTTCTTCTGCTCCTGACCAAAGGAAATTTCTTTGAATCTTTTCAAATTCGTCAATCACCGAAGTCGGCGCTTTATAAAGGTTGCACAAGTAATATGGTTGAGTAGCCAGGCAGGTGCTGCTTAGAACAAGTCTACCTCCTACAAGTTTTTTGCCATCGAATATCGATGCCGTCGGTTATCTCTATAACCGGTAACCGCCAATTACTGGTTCGGTTACTGTTTATACCTATAACTGGAAAAGAGATTCCACCCCTAGACCCGATAGCCACCTAGGCCATTAATCGACCATTACGCCAATCCTCCACCAAGCGAAAAACTTGCTCCCCAAAGACTAACGTAATTGGCCCTAACCTCAGTAACCCAATACCCGAACGAAGACTAAAATCCACGAAATAACAATAATACATAAACAAAATAAAAAACCAATCCCACCTAACCAACCCACAACCCTCGTCGGCCATCAAACCCACCCGGTGAACTTCCTGAACGAGAGGACGTTGAACAGGACCTTCTTCGACAACTTCAATCCAATGACCAGCCTTACTTCTTTTGTTGAGTACATGAACAAGGTAAATATATCTCCCTGCATGCACAAGAATACTCCTGGAGAAGGTGTAGAAAATGGAGAGAAGGCAAAGTTTGATCGAAAATCCGCAAGAGAAGCGGCTGCAGGGTTGTTCGCCCTTTTATATCACTTTCCAGTTTTACTGTTCTCCAACGGTAAGTAAAAACAGAAAAACAAAATTCACCTAAACACGTGGTGAACAACAATAGGCCAATGTGGAACCAACTCCACTTACAAATGAAAACGACGACGCGTCTCGGACGAAGGCTCGAAACATTTCCCATACAATGAATCGTCTTCAAGTCTGAAACGAGTTCTTCAGCTGTCTTCTTCAATTCAAATCGATCAGCTCATTCCAGCTCTGCAGCTCTTGCTTCGCCTTCATGAACTTCGACTTCTTCACCTTTATCATCTTGACAGCCTCCCTCAAGTTGGAGTGTACTAACTCCAAGCTTGTATAACAATTCTCGAATCCTGAATCTGCTCAAAGCTTTGGTGAACAGGTCTGCGACCTGATCAATGGTTCAAATGTAAGCCAATTTGATCAATCCAGCTTTCACTCTTTCACGAGTCACATGAACATCAATTTCAATGTGCTTCGTCCTTTCATGAAACACTGGATTGTCTGCGATGTGAATCGCTGATCTGTTGTCACAGAATACAGTAATAGGTAACTGCACAACCACACTTTACTCAGCAAGCAAACCTTTCATCCACTGCAACTCACACACTAACTGAGCTAAAGCTCTATATTCAGCTTCCGAGGATGAATGTGAAACGGTGGTTTGCTTCTTTGCTTTCCAAGTAACCAGTGAGTTTCCAAGAAAAGTACAGTACCCACTAACTGACCTCCTTGAATCTGGACAGCTAGCCCAGTCTGAATCACTGTACCCTGACAGCTTCAAATTTGAATAACTTTTGAAGTATATCCCCTGATTTGGAGATCCCTTGATGTACCTGAGAACTCTGTACGCAGCTTGCAGGTGTCCTGTATAAGGTTCCTTGTGGAACTGGCTTAGCTGCTGCATAGGGAAGGTTAAGTCAGGTCTAGTGGTGGTTAAGTAATCCAACTAGCCTTCTGTACTGCTCAGGATCTTCAAGTGGATCACCTTGTTTAGCTCTTAATGTAACCTTTGGATCAAGTGGTGAAACACACGGTTTAGCATCCTAATATCCAGTATCCTTCAGCAGCTCCAAACAATACTTTCGTTGACTCACTGCAATCCCATCACTGCTTCTAGTAATTTCTAGGCCTAGGAAGTACTTCAGCTGTCCCAGGTCCTTGATCTTAAAGTTCTTACTCAGGTACTTCTTCACTTCCTCCACATCTTCTCTACTGTCACCTCCTATTATAATGTCATCTACATACACCAACAACACCACAAAACGCCCATGAACCCATTTTGTGAACATAGAGTAGTCTGAAGCAGACTGTGAAAATCCATGTTGCAGCAGGGAAGAAGTCAATTTTGCAAACCACTGTCGACTTGCCTGCTTGAGTCCATATAGGGAATTCCTCAACCTACAAACAAGTTTTTCAGGACCTTTTGCCCTTGGATCCCCTGGTGGTAACACCATGTATACTTCTTCTTCAAGGTCTCCATGCAGAAATGCATTGGAGACATCCATCTGATCCAGCACCCATCCTTTAGTTGCAGCAACAGCCAGTAAGGCTTTCACAGTGTTGATTTTAGCCACAGGTGAATAAGTATCTAAAAAATCTATACCATAAACCTGTGTGAAACCTTTTGCCACTAGCCTTGCTTTAAACCTTTCAATGCTCCCATCTGGTCTTCTTTTGATCTTAAACACCCATTTATTACCAATGGCTCTCTTGCCTTTAGGTAAAACAACTACATCCCAGGTATGATTTTCTTCTAAGGCTTGAGTTTCCTCATTCATTGCCCTGTTCCAGTGTTCACTAGCAGCTGCTTCTTGATAAGAAGTTGGTTCTACTTCATGTAATACACTCAAAATGTAGCTTCTATCAACTGGTGATAGTTGATCAAGTGTCAAGTATTGTTCCATGGGATACTTACTGACACTTCCAACATGATAATCATCAAACCTTGCTGGCATTTTTTCTCTATTAGTTCGAATAGGTCTGCCTTCAAATTCTTCTTGCAGTTCTAGCTCAGGTGGATCATTATCATTATCAACAAAAACATCATCCATATGAACAACTCCATCAGTAGCAGTACTAGGGGAAATACCAGGAGAAATGGTGTGACCAGAATGGGAAGTAGTGGAAGGATTGGTTGGTGGAGGAGAAGGAGACATTGAGGGAGAAGCAGAAGTGGAAGGATTGCCCCCCCCCCCCCCCCCCCCCCCCCCCGATCCCTCAATGGTATAAGTGTAAGGCTGGTAAACTGGTATGGAAGGTGGTGCTGTAGATGAAGGATTAGTAGGTGGAGCAGGAGGAGAAGAAGGTGGATCAGAAGAAGAGGAACGAAAAGGAAGAATGTTTTCATGAAAGATAACATTCCTGGAAATGAAGACTCTCTTATTATCAAGGTCTAAGAGTGTATAACCCTTAACACCAGCAGGAAAGCCAAGGAAAACACATTGACTAGACCTGGCTTGGAATTTAGTTCTGCCATGGACCAAAGTAGAAGCATAGCAAAGGCAACCAAAGACCCTTAAAACATGAAGATCAGGAGGTTTATGGAAAAGAAGTTGATATGGAGAAGAGTTGTTAAGGACAGGTGTGGGAAGCCTGTTAATCAGATAGACTGAATGTAATATACAGGCACTCCAAAATTTTAAAGGAACTCTTGATTGAAACCTCAAAGCACGAGCTACATTAAGATGCTTGCGCTCAACCCTCCCATTCTGCTCAGAGGTTTCAACACATGAAGTTTGGTGTACAATGCCAATGCTTCTGTAATAATCAGTCATGTGGAACTCACTGCCTTGGTCACTACGAATGATTTTAACTGACTTGCCAGACTGATTCTTCACTAACTGACAGAAACCTTGTAACAAATCACGAGTTTCCCCTTTTGTGTGCATCAAGTAAACCCAAACAGCTCTACTAAAGTCATCCACAATTGTCAAAAAGTAACTATAGCCATCATAAGATTTAACTAACAAGGGGCCCCAGATATCAACATGAACAAGAGAGAATGGTTCAGAAGCTGTCATATCATTAATTGGAAATGGAAGTTTACGTTGTTTGGAAAAATGACAGGTCTCACAATGAGAAACAGGTTCATTGTGAGTTACATTCTGTTGTTTCATAAGAAGATGAAATCTATCTCTACTGGGGTGACCTAAGCGCCAGTGCCATAGGTTAATGTCTTGTGGTTGAAGGTTGTAGGTGAAGGCAGCTTGATGAGAAGAAGAGGGCACTGAAGTGAGTGGTAAGAGGGTGGAAAGATCAAGAAGATATAGCCCTTTACTTTGTTTTGCCAAACCAATGCTCTTCTGGGTCTGATGGTCCTGAAGTTCACACACAGAAGAATGGAAGTGCAAAGATAAGGGTAAGTCTGAGGTCAACTTGCTAATGGAAATGAGGTTAAAAGTGAAGCTAGGAACGAGTAGGAAATTCTGTAAGACAAGACCAGAGGGAAGATGAACTGTTCCTACATGGCTCACTAGAACTCTTTGTCCATTAGGCAAGTAAACAAAAGTGTTAAAGACCTCGGAGGTA